CATCTCGGCGAACGGCTCGTCATGCAAAGCAGCGCTGTTGACAACGATATTCGGCTCCTCCTGCATCAGGTCCGCTGGGACCTCCGGGTTCCTCCCCAGGGCGATCTGGTACGGAGAGAAGCCGTGGACACGCAGGAGGGAGTTTTTCGCCATCACCACCGCCCGCACACAAGTCAGGTATTCGGCCTCGTCCTTCGGGTTCGTCTGGTCCAGCACCTTGTTCAGAATGTCTTCGAACCAGGTGCCGTGGCGCTCGGCGTGACCAACCTGCTCGTGAGCCTCCCCTGCCGCGTCGCTGACCTCCGTGCCCTGTTTCTCGAACGCGTCGACGATCTCCTGGCCCAGGTTGGTCTTTCCAGCGTCGCACTTGAGAAGCGCAGGAGGCCCATATGGCAGGCTCCAGCCGTTCTCGAAAAGCTCCTTCAGCACCTTGCCGGTCTCTTGCACGAAGAAGGGTAGCATCTGCTGAAGACAGCTGCTAGGGCACACGACGTTCAGGGCCTTCACCTTCATCCCTTCCTTCCAGCCTGGCAACTCCTTCACGTCCAGCTCAACCAGCCTCAATGGCGCCATCTTTGACGGCACCTTCACTGGCCGCACGGCCTTGGGAAGCCGCCGTCCTTCGCAGATCGAGCAGGAGAACGTCCGCGCCAGGGCCAACACCATCTCACTTGCCTTGGCGTGCTTCAGGATCCTGACCATGTCCTCATTGCTCGGATGGCCGAGGTTGGCGTGCAACCTCCTGAGGGACGCCTCGAGCGAGAGCTTCCGCCGCTTGATGACCTCGTCGTCGTCGGTCGTCGTCAGAACGTCGGCCACCTGGAGGACGCGGTCCACCTCCAGCTGACTTGTCATGGCGCCAGCTATCTTCCTGCAGAGATCCTCCGGGTACCTCGCCGAGAACGCGCTCCTCTTGGTGCCCTTCGAGCTGTCCCAGCACCACTGATGCTCATGATCTCGAGGGCAGTGCAGCTCCTTCAGCGCCCACTTGAGCATGTCCGCGTTGGTCGCGAAGCACCACTCCTTGGACATCAGCTTCTTTGTCACCGGATCTCTCAGACCCACTTGGCACCCACTGACCGACACGCGGTGCACTCCCGCCACCCGACACAGGCTCAGGACCGAAGCGCAGTCCCAGGATCTCGCCGTCGGCGGTGCCTCGAGCGCGAAGTAGCGACCTCCTCGGATCTGCCTCCGAGCCACCACCACACAGAACCTCAAGTATCCGACCGCCTCCCTGACTGCCTGGCGATACCTTTCCGGGTCCCGTCGCGCTTCCTCCACAGTCAGGTTCTGCAAAATCGAAAGGGGGCCGCAGGGAGGACTCATGCCCACGAACTCCGGCTCCTCGACGTCGACCAAGTGCAGAATCTTGTGGCGGTCATCCGCTCGACGGGCATCCCAGCCGTTCTGTAGGTCGAAAGCGCCGAGGCTCTGGAACCCCATGGACTCTAGGACGGGGGTCACTCGAGGCATCGAGAAGATCTCCAGGCACTTCGGTCGGTGGCCCAGCCGGGCCTGCGCCTCGAGAACACCCCTGACCAGCGTCCGCTTGGCCCGCCGGCTCATGATATCGGTGACGCCCTCTGACCACAGGACGTCGGTGTCGTCCCAGTCGCCGTCAGCCTCAGGGCCCCGGCTCGGCCCTAGCGAAAACCCGACGGCGCCGCTGCGACGAACTCCTCGAGCTCCTGCTGCTCCTCCGCCGTCATCCCTTCGCCCTGCTCTGCCGTCATCGTCACGTCGACCTCTGCCGTCTGGATCCTCCTGCCGCCCTCGTTCGTCATCTCGCACAGGTTCAGCTGGTAATGGCCGCTGGCCGCAACCCGGAGCGGCACCGTGACGTTGAGCCGGGCGAACCGAATCTCGTCCCGCTCCATGTCCAGCTGCGCGCCGAGGGCCTTGAGCATGGGCTTGCTCACCAGCAGCGGGGTTCCGCCTGGGACGACGCACAGGCGAAGCACCAAGAGGCGGCCGCCCACTCGGCACTGCATCTCCACGGTGTAGATCGACTCCAGTGTCTCCTGGTTGCCGAATCGGAAGGTCGTCGCTCTCGTCTGCTTGACCGTCTTCACTGCAAGGCCAGCTTTCTCCATCTCCACCTTGTGCTCCTTGAGAGTCTCCTCGCCGATGACTCCCTTGCCGCACCCGGTGTCGACCACGCCCGATCCCGGCTCGTGTGCTGACGCCGTCAGCACTTCTGGCAAGACCTCGTCCCTGGGCATCGCGATCAGCCTGCGGTACGCCTCGATCACGTCATCCATGTCGTCCCTCGCCGCCGTGTACGCCTCGTACAGGTCGTCTATGTCCTGATCCTCGTCCTCCTCGTCGACCGCCGGCTCGCAGTCGCACTCGTCGTCGTAGCTGCGGTTGCCGCCGCGCAGGGTCCGCTGGAACTCGTTCTCGTACACGTCGCACTCGAAGGTCTCTTCCTCGTCGACGTCTTCGGTCCCGCCGTCGTTGGCTACGAAGACGCCCTCGTCCGAGTCACTCTCGAGGACCATGACCACGTCGCCGCGCTTCTCGACGTCCTTGCCCTTGTGTTTGTGGTCCCGTGGTGGCGGCCTGCGTTGACGTCGTGGTTTCTTGCAGTCCCTGCTGAAGTGACCGACCTCGTCACAGTTGTAGCATCGCACTCGTTTCGCCATCGCCTGCGTGTCCGGCCTCTTCGGGCCGAAGCCCCGAGCCAGCTGTTCTTTCGTTATCTTGTTGCGCTGGTCGCGCCAGGACACCAAAATCTCGATGGCCTCCCTCTCGTCCAGGATGTCCCCGTCCTCAGTATCCTCAATCATGTCGAAACCCGCCAGCAATGCCGTGATGTCTGCGACGTCGTCGCTCTCGTTGGCCTCCTCTACCGCCACGTTCGCTCCGAACGCCTTCGACTGCTGGCCGAAATCCGCTAAGCCGTTAGGGTAGGTCGTCCTGAGCGCCATCGCCACGTCCTTCTCCTTGTAAGATCGGCCCGACGCCGCCAGGACGACTGCGAGGTTCTGCGGCGCCATATGCACTCCCAGCAGCAGCAGGTACCCGCGCGCCATGTCTGGCAGCACCACGCCTTCCGTCTCGCCCTTGGCGAACGCCGCCTGAGCGCGTCCGCAGTAGGCCGCCATTGACTCCCCTCTGGCCAGGCGAATCGTGAACACCTCCTTCAGCGCCTCGCCGAGCCTGTCGTGGGCTGCCACGTCGGGGAAGCGTGAGTCGAGTGTGTCGAATATGGGCTGCTCGCCGCCCTCTTGCTCCAGATCGTCCATGTCAATAATCTCCAGTGCTCGGGCGGCGACGTCGTCGAGCAGCGTGAAAAGCATCGGCCCTAGGGCCGACGCAGGCGTCCCCTTCGCCTTCTGCACGATGAGGTACGCCCGCGCCCATTTCTTCCAGGATCGGTAGTCCCGAAAGGCGTCGGCTCCACTCCCGGCGAACCTCCTGATCGCGCCGCCGGAGCCCCCGTTGTCCGTGTTCATCACCTTCTAGTTGCGTCCCGCTGGCACTCACCCGAGTGCCTCCCGGTGCGACAGCGCCTGCTATCGCGCGGCACGCTCCGCTCTACCAATGCAGATTGGGCTTCGAGGAGGGAGCACCTGCACCCTCTTTTCCACTCCTGTGGCAAGCCAAAAATGCTGCAGCGTCAACACGCACATGCATAACAGATAACACGCACATGCACGACATATATAGACATACCAAGGCCTCCCCGGGCCCGGAGATCAGCAGGAGGCCTCCCGGGCGCCGGAAGCAGAAATTCAGCATTTTCAAAAGAAAAATGTGCATTGAAATGTCCTTTTTTCGGCGCCGCCTCGGACCTCGATTTTTCGGCGCCGGCCGGAACCGGCGACCCGGCCCGAGTGCCGGCCCGGGCGCCGGCTCGGGCGTGCAGGCGCCGGCGGAAATGAGGCCAGCGCTGCAGCGGAAGCACGATTCGGAACGAGCGGGGCCCCAAAATGAGGCCGGCGCCTCAGCGAGAGCAGAATTTGGGGAAAAATGCAAGCGAAAACCCAACTCCGGGGAAACCTGTGTGTAAAAAATCAGTATGCGGGGGGGGGGCGGCTACTCCCAAGACGTCATCAGGGGAAGAGGGAGAGTAGTATTCATATTGAGTAATTGTGGAGGGGTAGGAGGGGGAAGCGGACGGAGAGTCGAAGGAGGAGGACTCTCAGCCACATTGGCTCATGGATGGAGCTGGCCGTTTCGCCCGCTTCATGTTCGCCTACAGGTTGCATGTGGACGATACCTGACACACACACACGATACCGTATTCCATCACTTCCGCCCCCCTCTTCTTTTGGCAATGAAAGTGCCAAGTGCATACCTGGCGTTCGTGTGTATAGTGGGCCATGCTCTCGCGCAGCTTGTAGTTTCAAAAGACCGATCAGGGCACCGTGGCACGCTGGACGTCGCGGACTCGCGGTTCATGCAGTTCCGGCTTGACAGCGACAAGGACGTGTTGCGCAGCAGGTCTTTACTAGAATCCCTCAATGGTGGGCTGCCTGGCGATCAGTATGTACATTCGTACGAGGGTTATGAGGAGCACCTTGAGCATGCACCCAATGAAACAAGGAGTAAGTTATCTGAATTCACGCAGTGCGGCCAGGCCTGGGGGGAATATGACACCGTAGTTTGGAGCAGAAACCCAGCCCTTACACATCATGTTGCGTGCGCCTCTGCAAATGATGACATGACAATTGGAATCTGCCGCAGCGATGGCATTGGGCATTCTCATTGGGAGTTTTGCAAATCGTCGCCCTCAAACCTATGCGATGGCTACGGCGGCATGCTTTGGTTTGTGTTCTGCACGGACCTTACAAGGGTGGGCACGCCCGCGCCCACGGCCGCGCCCACGATCGCCCCTGGTGGTGGCGCGCCGCCAGATGAGCTTATGGAAACTCCTGCACCTACGCCTTCGCCGACTATGCTGGTTATCAGCTGTGGTCCTCTTGAGGCAGGTGCCACGTCGATTGAAATTCCAGAAGACATGCTGGCCCTCGTGGAAGTAGGCATGTGCTTCATCCTTGAGGGTGGTGGCAACTCGGAGACGGTCTCGGAGGAGCAACATAATGCATAAACATAAGCTTCCGGAGGTCTGTGCGGATTGCACCTGGCGCGGGAAGCGCGCCAGGTGCGGCGGCGGATGCTCCGCCAGGAGACTCCAGCGCCAAAGCAAGGAATCTGCGCGAACCTCCGAAGGTTTATTATTTTGCAGGTTTTGTTAATCTAGGTCTGTATTGCAGGCTTCGGGTCGATCCTGCTGGTGAGCCCCACGCTATGGGCGTACCCCGTTGGCTCGTCGCTCACCCAATTGGAAGAAGTAACAGTAGCGCCTGCGCCGCTGCCTACTCCTCCAGCTACTCCTCCAGCTTCCACTGGGCTTGTTATGCGCAGGGCTTTCGCCGCATCTGCCGACCCCTTCGTATTGTTGAGCCTGCGCTTATCCCTTGCAGGCGTCGAGCGAGACAAATGAAGAGTAGGCAGCATATGAAAAGGAATGTGGGGAGGATGCGGATGAGATTGGGGAGGAAGTGGAGGAGGAGGAGGAGATGGGAGATGGAGGAAGAAGGATGAAGAATGAATGGTGGGGATGGAGGGATTGAAGGGTGCGGGTAGGACCGGCGTAGGAGAGAGGCGGGCTCTTTCTGGAGGGGTATGAGACGATGCAGGAGGGATGAAAGATGGGAATGTATTGTAGAAAGTCGGAGCGGAGGAATGGAGAAGCAGGGTGTGGGCGAGGAGGGGGGCGAGGGGGATGGGGAGGATATGGGTTTCAGCCGATTCTTAGGGCGTCTTTGGCATCTCCTGGGCTGTTCTTGGGGCGTCTTTGGTCCCGAGGCTTGCTGTGCCGTCGTGGGGGCCTCTCGGGGTGCCCTCTTGGAAGCGCCGCGGGCCCCCCTGGACGGCATACGGGGGCCATGCTGGCGCCCTCTAGGTGGCCGTCTTGGGCCGTCCTGGCTGTATCCGGACCCGTCTCGGTAGCCTCTTCTCAGGGCCGCAGAAACCAGAGCACTGCAAACCAGGACCTTACCAGATCTGGCAGGAGAACACAAACATTAGAGAGTGCTTCGACCCATGGCTTCAGTCTACTTGGGTGCGCCAATGTCCTTGTTTATCAATGCCCCTGTTATCGGGGCCGCCGCCTGAGGTCCTTCCAGGGCGCATCTTGGGCCATCGCCTAGAATCTGGGCGTGTTAGAATTCGTGTCTCCCCCGCGAGCGGGATGAGGAAGGACAGAGGATGGATGACTGGGACAGAAAGAAAGGGGTGGAAGGATCGGATAGATGGATAGATGCAGGGATGGACAGAGGGTCGGAGGGATTAGATGCAGGGATGGACAGAGGGTCGGAGGGATGGATGGGAATGGGCGGAGCGTCGGAGGGATGGCGGGAGGACGGGTGAGGAATGATGGAAGGATGGGGAGATGGAGGATGGGGGATGAAGGTTGAGAGGCATGCAGGGAGGAGGCGTAGGTGGAGGAGGGATGAGGGATCGAGGGATGCGGGATGGAGATAGGGAGGGGTGGAGGGATGGTATGATGGAGTGAAGGAGGAACAGGGATGGAGAGGCAGGGCCTCATGCTGCCCTCTCATGCCGTCTTGGAGACCACTTTGGGCCAGTCTGGGTTTTCTCCGGGTTCACGTCCTCTGAGGGCCTTCTTGGGTCGTCTCGGCTGTCCCTGAGGCCGTCTTGGCCACCGTTTGAGGTCGTCTTGGGCCCCCCCTCCACTACAGAAGGAAGAGGCAGGAATTTCGGGGTGAAGGAGGGGGCAGGGGGAAGACAGCAGGGATGATTGAGGAAGGAGCACAGGTGTGCGGGTTGGAGGGGCGGAGAGATACTCCGGGACCGTCCAGGCGGCCTCGACTGGCTCTGTTGGGCCGTTTGCTCGGCAACACGGCGGCAGTCTGGGGCCGTCTTGGCAGTCTGTTGGGCTGTTATGCGTTAGGCACCTTTCTGGACACTGGGGTCCCTTGACCTAGTTAGGGGGGTGTTTCGGCCACTCGCGAGTCATCTTGTGGTCCTCCTGGGCATTCCTCCAGCAATCTTAGGCCGACAAGACTGAAGGTGGAACACACTCGAGCGCACTGCTGTTCGCACTTGAGTGGGGCCTTTCTGTCATAGCCGACGCGGCTCGAAGACAGAGCGCATTGTCATCCCGGGGCTAGAACTGACAACGTGTCTCCATCAAGTGCCCTTGATACCGAGGAACCAGTCGTGAACGCCTGAAGGATGAGATCCTTGTCAGTGGGTGGTTGATCGAAAGCGAGGCAGGTGAGATAAAGAAACCCTCATGACAGCGAAGAAACGATTGTCAAAGCCAAAGGGATTCGTCCCTTGGCAGTGGATCTGCGATCAAGCAAACATGAGCATGACCGCCCCAAAAAGGCAGTGGCAGTGCGGCCCCAATTACCAAACAAGAAGCGTCTCACAACCACCAAACCACGCCTAACAACTTGCATAAGAGGGACCCGGTAGGGGAGATAAGGTCTCACACGCCGTAAATGACCATACACGGGATGTTGGCGGATTCCGTGTGGTCCGATTGAGGCAGGGGCGATGTCAGTAAATTTGTCGGCAGAGGACGAGGCTTTTCTATCGGTGGGCATGTGTTTTACCCTTGCTGGTGGCAACAATTCAGAGGTTGTCTGCACTGCAGGACTGGGGCCAATGCAGCTGGTGAGCCCCACGCAACTAGCGTACCCCGCAGACTCCACGCTCACACTGTTGGATGACGTCTTCGCCTCCTCGAATTCTACACTGATCATTCTCACGGCTTGCCCCACATCCGCCATATGCTTTGTGTGTTGCTCAGCCAGCAGTCAGTCCTTGCATGATCTGACAGAAGGAGTGCAGGGCAGCAGGGGATGAGGAATTGAGGACGAGGAAGCGGATGAGAGTTAATAAGAGGTTGAGGAGGAGGAGAATGCGGAGAAGGTAAGGATGATGAGGAGTACGACGATGTTTGATAATCAACAAGGAGGAGAAACACTGAATGAGGAAGGATGGACGGGTGGAGGGATGGATATTTGTTTGGGGAATGACGACTACGAGTGAGGAGGGGGGAGAAGGGAAATATCGATTTGTTGAGGGATGAAGGGGGGAGGGATGGAGGCAGGGAAGATAGAGGGATGATGGGTGGGTGGGTGGATGGGTCGATGGGATGCTGGCTGGCACGACGCCATCAGCCTCTACAGTGCGGGGATCTTCCAGACCCTCCGAACGGAGTGGGAAGAACGTATGCACCCAGCCAGCTGGACAGGCAGGACGCGGCGCGCCTGGGCCCATGCCCTGGCGGCGGCGGCGTAGACGTGGCGGCTGGGCCTCCTGCTGACAGCGCTGGCGGCGGGGCCAGCGCGGCCGCGGCGCGCGGCCCCCCCCCCCCCCCCCCCGGCACAACCGCGGGGCAACCGCAGATGAGGCGGCAGCGTTCGGCGCGCTGGCAGCAGAGGTTGCGCGGGGGGCACCGCCCGGAGAGATCTGCGCGGCAAGGGACCGCCTGAGGAGCACCCGCCAGGAGGCGCGCTCGGCGGGGCAGGCGGAGGCCAGTGCCAAGCCCAGGGCCCTGCTCAATGAGAGCCCGCAGGGAGCCGCGGCCGCGCTGAAGAAGCTGACCCGCGGCCCAGAATTAGGCCTCCCGTTGGCCATGCGAGACCCGGAGGAGCACGGGGCGCCGCGGCGGTTGTAGAGGGCGCGGCCCAGTACATCCTCCGAGATTCGCCGCCCTGGGCCGGCGAGTGGGACACAGGCCACAGTACGAGACTGGACGCTGAGGTCGCGGACCTCCGCGCCCAAGCACGACGGGAGTTGGCGGAGTGGGCCCCAGAAGAGGCGTACACCCTGGAGGAGCTCCAAGGGGGCCTACGCCAGATCCGCCGAGGAGCGTGCCGTCGAGACGTCCCGTACGCAGCCGTGCTGGACCGCCACGTCGAGATGATCTTCGCCCTCCTAGCCATGATGTCGCTAAGCCGGCGGTGCGGGATGACTGCGGAGATTTGGCTTTTCCAGGACAATTACCACAAGGAGAAACCCAGGAAAAACCGTCTGGATTATGAGGGCTTCCGCGTCCTAACCCTTTGCTCAGTGGAAGGCAGAGTCCTGGAGGAGCTGTGGGCGCAGAGGCACCTGGCGGCCCTCAGTGGGTCAATCCCGTCGTCCCAAGAGTCCGGGGGCGCATGCCTCGTAGCATTCCTGCTCGACTTCGAATGCTACAGCCTTTACGCCAGCCCGCTGGCAGAAGTACACGCCGACGAAAAGGAGGCAATCGACTCCCAGGACAGGCGGGAGGCGCTCGTGGCAGCATGCCGACGTGCATCACGGTCCGCGGATGGCTCCAGCTGGATGCGCTGCTAGCGGGCACCATCATCCAAGTTGTGGCGCACAACTGCAGGTCACGTGTCATCCGGCCCCGGGTGGGAATGCCCGAGGGCAGGAAACTCAGCCCAGTGCTCCACTGCGCTGCCACCGACGCCAAAGTGGAGGCATTGCAGAAGCGGACTGGCCCCGGGATTGGCCTGGACCCCGACCCCGAGGCACACTGTGCAGCCCGGGACCATTCCGACGTGTGCGAGCTAGGTGGAGCAGTGGTGCGTGCTCCTACCGGCTGGGGCGACATGGGGACACGTCACGGCGAGCGCGTCTACGGATGCGGTGCGACTGGCCCTGGTAGACGGCACGGCTGAGATCCGCGTCGGGGCCCGGTCTTTCGTGGACGACCTCCGCAACGAAGTGTCCTCTCGCGGGGCCACCTCGGACAAGTGGCGCAGGCCCTACAGCAAACGCGAGACACCAGGCCACGCGGGGACGTAGCATTCGTAGACTCCTATCGCTGCCTTGGGGTAGTCCGCGACGGAGGCCCCCCATGCGCAAGGACACCTGCGGGCGTGCCTGGAGGCCGGCAGAGCTCTGGGCAAGCGCCAGATACGGGCCATGCAGGACCGTGGATTCCCAGCCAGGGAGCAGCTCGACGCGCTGAGGATCTGCACGAAGCCGGCAGCGTTATTCGGCTTGGAGTTCTGCTTCCACCTGCCCAGATTTCAGCGCGAGGTCAACCGCCAGCAGGAAGAGTGGGGCCGAGCCGTCCTTGGACTCTCGCAGCATTCTCCTGGAGCAGCTGGGGTGGACCCGGCGGCTCTCGACGGACTACAAGCAGATGGCGCTCATGCTGAAGATCCGGGTGGACGCGGACCCCCGGTACGAGGAGGCGCGGAACGTCCTTGGCCTCTCAGAGGAAACGCCGGGCTCGTGGGGGGAATCGGTGGCGACCGTGCTCGAGCGCTCGAACTTCAGGCCCGCGCGAGCGCAGCCAAGCGGCAGCGCGGCGGCCTGGCGGCGCCAGTACCGGGAGCACCGCGGGCGCATCGAGAAGGCGCTGGACGACATCAGCGAGGCGCAGGGGCTCCAGCGCATCTCCAGCCGGCGATGGGGTTCTCCAGCCTTCGCGGCGGCTGGGGGCCCGCCAGATGCAGTCCGCGCCTGGGCGCGCTATGCGCTCCAGGGGGCCTTCCAGGCAGACCGGGCTGGCGGCCTCCAGCCGTGCCGGTTCCGCCGCGCGTCTCTCGAGTCTGCGGCGCACCTCCTGGCCCAGTGTGAGGAGGCCGCCGACGTGCTAGCAGCGTGGAACACCACAGCAGCGGTGCCCCTCCCGGCGCAGCCCGACCGGCGGGCGCGCTGGCTCCTCGGGGATGGCCCCCCCCGAGGCGGCGGCGGAGGCAGCGCTCGCCATCCGCCGCCTGGAGCAGCGCTGCCAGCGCTGTGCGGCGCGAGACCCCAGGCAGCGCCGCCAGCGCCGCTCGATGGGGGGAAGGGGGCCTAGAAGGTCCTCGCCCCCGTGGGAAAGAGGGAGCCCCTTCCCCCCCCCCGCCGTCGTCGCCGCCGCTGCCGCCGTCGCCGCTCGGGCGCCGCCTCGGCGTGGCCGCTGCCGCCGCCGCCGCCGGTGACGGCGCCAGTGCCAAGACGCAGGCGCGCCGGAAACGAGGGGGAACGCCCGCGGCCCGGGATAGTCGCCGAGGCGACGGTGTCTTGGCGGCCCTCCTGCCCCGGCCTGGCCCTGGAGCTCCGAGAGGGGCGGGGGGCGGGGGAGGGCGCGGGCCGATAGGGGCTGTGTCAAGGACCTCCCTCCCAGGCAAGGAGGCAGTGGCAATGCATCCAGCCCAAGGCCGTGAAGGGGGCGGTCTGGGATGCCGGTGGAGGGGGGCCCCGGCGTCGCTGGCAGGGGGGACTCGGGGCGGCGGACCTACGGCGTCGTCGGCCTCCCCCCCCCAGGTGGCCCTGGCCGGGGGGGCTCGGGGCGCGCGCCGGGGGGGCGCAGCGCGCGGGGGGCCCGAGGTCCCGTAGCCCCCCCGCGCGGGTGGGGGTGCTGTGGGGGAAAAGAGGTTCGACTGGGGCATTGCCAGTGCATGGCCCCGGGCTCGCGCCGCTGGGCGGGCCGCAGGGCTGCGGCCGATTCTGGCGGCGTTTCGAGGACCCCCTGGGACCCCAGCGCACCAGGCTCCGACGTGAGGTCGGGCGCCCGTGCGCGGGCTTCCGGTCATGGGGGGTGACGCCGAGCGGCTGGTGTGAGCCCACCAGCCGCCCGGGCGATTTTAAAAATCCCACATAGCCGGCGTGGCCCCGGTGGGGGGGGGCCGCCGCGGCCGGACCGCTGAGCCCCAAAAGGCGCGAATAATAATAACAAGAACAATGATAGTGATACTGCTACTAATAATAATCATAATAATCATAATAACAATAATCAGAGCGTGAATTACCTACCCCGCTTTCGCTTCCAGGCAAAACCAAGTCATACCACGCGCCTCCTCGTCAAGCGGCCTGACCAGTACATGCTGCAATTTGGCATCGTTTGGTATCTCTTGGAAGCGAGGGTGGTCAAAAGCGAGGTAGGTGTGTTTTCCCCTTAAGTTAAAAAGTAATAGTAATAGTAATAGTAACAGTACTAGTACTAGTACTAGTACTAGTACTAGTAATAGTAATAGTAATAGTAATAGTAATAGTAATAGTAATAGTAATAGTAATAGTAATAGTAATAGTAATAGTAATAGTAATAGTGCTAGCGATAGTAATAGTATTAGTAATAGTAATAGTAATAGCAATAGTGATAGTAATAGTAATAGTACTAGTACTAGTACTAGTACTAGTACTAGTACTAAGAATAAGAATAGTACTAGTAGTAGTAGTAGTAATAGTAATAGTAATAGTAATAGTAATAGTAATAGTAATATTAATAGTAATAGTAATAGTATTAGTAATAGTAATAGTAATAGTAATAGTAATAGTAATAGTAATAGTAATAGTAATAGTAATAGTAATGGTAATGGTAATGGTAATAATGGTAATAATGGTAATGGTAATGGTAATGGTAATGGTAATGGTAATGGTAATCGTAATAGTAATAGTAATCGTAATCGTAATCGTAATCGTAATAGTAATCGTAATCGTAATCGTGATAGTAACATTAATAGTAATAGTAATAGTAATAGTAATAATAGTAATAGTAATAATAGTATTAGTAATAGTAATAGTAATATGAGTAATAGTAATAGTAATAGTAATAGTAATAGTAATAGTAGTAGTAATAATAATATTAGTAGTAGTAATAGTAATAGTAATAGTAATAGTAATAGTAATAGTACTAGTAATAGTAATAGTAATAGTAATAGTAATCGTAATCGTAATCGTAATCGTAATAGTAATCGTAATCGTAATCGTAATAGTAGTCGTAATAGTAATAATAATAATAGTAATAGTAATAGTAATAGTAATAGTAATAGTAATAGTAATAGTAATAGTAATAGTAATAGTAATAGTAATAGTAATAGCAATAGTAATAGTAATAGTAATAGTAATAGTAATCGTAATAGTAATAGTAATAGTAATAGTAATAGTAATAGTAATAGTAATAGTAATAGTAAGTAGTAGTAGTAGTAGTAGTAGTAAGTAGTAGTAGTAATAGTAATAGTAATAGTAATAGTAATAGTAATAGTAATAGTAATAGTAATAGTAATAGTAATAGTAATAGTAATAGTAATAGTAATAGTAATAGTAATAGTAATAGTAATAGTAATAGTAATAGTAATAGTAATAGTAATAGTAAGTAGTAAGTAGTAGTAGTAGTAGTAGTAGTAATAGTAATAGTAATAGTAATAGTAATAGTAATAGTAATAGTAATAGTAATAGTAATAGTAATAGTAATAGTAATAGTAATAGTAATAGTAAGAGTAATAGAGAGTAAGAGTAAGAGTAAGAGTAATAGTAATAGTAATAGTAATAGTAATAGTAATAGTAATAGTAATAGTAATAGTAATAGTAATAGTAATAGTAATATAGTAATAGTAATAGTAATAGTAATAGTAATAGTAATAGTAATAGTAATAGTAATAGTAATAGTAGTAATAGTAATAGTAATAGTAATAGTAATAGTAATAGTAATAGTAATAGTAATAGTAATAGTAATAGTAATAGTAATAGTAATAGTAATAGTAATAGTAATAGTAGTAGTAGTACTAGTAGTAATAGTAATAGTAATCGTAATTGTAATCGTAAAAGTAATAGTAATAGTAAGAATAATAGCAATAGTAATCGTAATATTAATAGTAATAGTAATCGTAGTAATAATACTTGTAGTAGTATTAATTGTCGTATTAATGGTAATATTTCTAATAATGATAATGAGAATACCTATACCAATAATAATAACCGCAATATTAATAATAATACGAATAATACAACGAGTATTATTAATAGTAGTACGATTATTCGTATTGGTACTATTAATAGTAATGATAGAATAATCATATATTAATGGTAATAATAAGAATTCTAGTGTGGGGGCCTTTTGTTGCCATCCTGGACAGGCGCGAACCGATCTGAGGCCTTCAGGATTTTGTTGGGGGCCGTACCCGCGCCCTCGCCGAGCCGTTCTGGTTGTCCTGGGCCATGACGGCCACACCGCGCGGCCATCTGCGGCCCTTCTGGAGAGCCAGTTGGGCCGTCCCTTGGCCGCCGACACTTTTGGATACACGCAAGCGAGTGAGATCAACATCCCTCTCTTATACCCCCCGGCTATTCATTTACATTTTAAGCTAGGAGAGTAGACTTCATTCCGAACTTTATTTGTATAAGCTTGCTGATTAATGATATGCTGAAGACCGAAACACGCCGTCAACACCGATCCGTAGTTTTTCCTGGCTCGAGCCCCCCCCTCCCCGGGGGGCAGGGGGGAAACGGGCCAGGGGCCCTTGATGCTGGGGCAGCTTGCCCGGGCCGCCGTGCTGGGGGTGGCCAGCCTGGGCGGCGCGTGGCTGGGGAGGTGCCGGTCGCCGCCGTGCCCGGCATCGCCGCCCCGCCCGCCGGCGGCGACTTGCACGTGTCCGCCAGCGCCGGCGGTCTCGCGCCCGCAGGTGAGCGTCACCTGCCCAGCGGTGCCGGCCGCGGAGGCCCGCGCCTGCCCCCAGGCGCCGGCGGCACCGGTGTGCCCGCCGCCGCCCGAGAGCCCGCAGGGCACGTCCAAGGCGGAGGTCGCCGAGTCGCCAGGCCGGCAGGACCTGTCGCCGGATGGTAACATGTACCTCGAGGACTTCAGCGACGCCGTGGCCGTGCGATGTCTGGGGCCGAACAACGAGGTGCCGGAGAGGGTACCTCGGAACCTGATCTATGACTTCGATCAGCCCCCGTCGGCGGGGACGCTGCGCAAACGGATGCAGGAGGGAGCCTACGCCGCCGGGCTAGAGGACCAGCGCCGCGGTTACGGCATCGCCGTGTGGGGAGCTGGAGGCGCCGCTGGGGCCGCGAGCGCCGCTGGCGCCAAGCCGGCCGCGGCCCAGGCCGGCGGCGTTGGCCGTGTGGCGGCGGGAGCGCCCGCTTACGTGCCGGCCCAGCCGCCCGCGCCGGGGGCTCCCGGCGAGGGCGAGGACGGTGGGCCGGGCCCGGCGGCGCTCCAGGGCCACGAGTGCGTCAGCCGCGACGTCCGCCCGCCAGCGGGGCCGACGGTGCAGCCGGTGACGGTCGACACGGTGCGCTGGGTGGCGGCCGCGAGCGTGGTGTACCCTGGAGGCAGCGTGGATCGAGGAGACGACGAGGCGATCAGCGGGTCGGAGATGGTGTCGGGCCGCAAGGGAGTGATCGCGCTGATGGGGGTATCCGTGCTGATGGGGGACGTCGGCGACGGCGATGGAGAGGTGTACAGGTCGAGGGAGGCCCATCATGACGCGAGGCTGCTGAAGATGCAGAGGGACTCTCGAGGTGACGGCCACCGCCCCTGGCGCGACGTCACGCGCGGTGTGAGCGCGGTGAAGCAGACGGACTGGCCCTCGTCGGGCCCGCAGACGACGGAGTGGTGCACAAGGTTCCTTGACCGTCGGAGTGAGGGGCCCGTGGGCTGGAGTCGGCGCTGGCGAGCCGACAGTAGGCTGGCCATGGACCAGTGGGGCGTATCCGAGCACGAGACGCTGGCGAAGGCCCTCGAGCGCTTGGGGACCCCCGACCAGTATGACGTGGTGAACGTGGCGGCGGCGGAGTACATCGAGCGACGGATGCGGCTCATCGAGTGCTTCTATTACGAGGTCTGCTGGCAGGCGGACGGCAGCAAGCATCAGGACAGGAAGGGCGGCAAGGGCGTGCGCCTGGAGGAGATGGCTGACCTCTCCGGGAAGCCGCGCGAGGACGGAGAGGTGATGGTGGCGCCGGAGCCGCTGTCCTACTTCGCCACCGAGCTGGAGCGGGACTCTGGCATCAGGAAGCAGATGAGGGAAACCCGCGAGGGACGGCGACTCGCGGGCAAGCATGACCAGTGAATGGGGCCGCCGTGGGAACCCCCGATCCCGCGGCGAGTATGCAGGGGGGCCGCTGGACATGAGCCCCGGCGCGGCCTTTGTACGTGGCTCACACGAGGGCAGGGTCGTCAATCGTGATCTTCTTCCCTTGCCTCACTACCGCCTGCCGAGCATGGGCAGCGACGATGGCGGTCAGCCAAAGTCTCGTCGGGGGCAGCGCCGCCGAGGGGAGCGAGCTCATTGCGAAGACTGGGCTCGCTGCTGCGCGATCACGCTGAACGAGCTCGACCGCGGGTCTGCTGATCCGCATCCTCAGGGACAGCGGGCCAGTGCCGGGCAGGAGCGCAGCTTGGGCATGATCCAGGCTGCGGTAGCTGAGCTCGGACGGCCGCCCGCCGACCTGACTCGCCAGGGAGCCCTCGCGGAGCTCCTGGCCAAGCGCAGCTACACCGGCGAGAAGGTGTCTGTCGCTCGGCTCGACATTTCTCTCTTGTCCCTGCCTGCTGGTGGGGGCGGTCCTCGAGCGCTGACAACCTTGCTCGGGGATGAGGGCCCAATGGTAGTCGATGCCTTTTTGAGAGACAAAGTCTTGCCTCCATCGGAGGCGGCGGCGCGGGTGGCCGAGTCGGCCTTGAAGCGTCCGTACTACGATCCTTCGCTGCAGGGGAGGCCGCGCCGGTATGCGCGCCTCCTCGCGGCCCTTGACGGCGCAGGCATGCTCGAGTGGAGGCGGCACGGATCGCCCCGAGTAGGCTTGTTTACTGTTTGGAAAAAGAACGGCAAGCAAAGATTGATTGTCGACGCTCGGTTGTCTAACTTGTGCTTCGCTTCTCCTGATTCTGTCGACCTTGCCACAGGCGGATCTTTCGCGTCCCTCGAGGTTGACCCTGGGCCCCCAGTGTGCCTTGCTCAGGTCGACATCCAGGATGCCTTTTACCACCTCCTCCTCCCTCCTGAGCTCGTCCCCTTTTTCTGTCTCCGCCCTGTCACCGCTGGGCTCGCCGGAGTCGTTGAGCTCGACGGCGCCCCTGTCTCTCCGACCCAGCTCGTGTACCCACACCTGCGTGTTGCGCCGATGGGGTGGAATCACGCCTTGTGGTGGTGCCAGCGAATTCATGAATTCCATGCCTTTCGGCAGCCCGGCGTGTCCCTCTCTAACAAGCTCTCGGATAAGAAACCCGGGGTGCGTCTGGGCCGCTCGGGGTTTGCTCACACTGAATACGTAGACAACTTCGCGGCCATCGGGCGCCAGGCCAAGGAGGTCGACGCTGTGGCCGATTCCGTTTTAGACGCCCTGACCGCCGCTGGGCTCAGCATGCATCCTCGTGAGAGCTCAGTCGGCGGGTCCGTCTTGGGATGGGAATTCAGTGACGAGTGCCCTCAGGTTCGTGTGAGCCCTCGCAGAGCGTGGGGACTCCGACTCGGCATTGAGGGGCCCCTGGAGAAGGGCTTTGCTACAGGCAGGGACCTCGAGGCCATCATAGGACATTTCACGTTCGCCGCTCGAATTCGGCCAGAGGCCCTGCGTGTGTTCTCTGCTGCGTACGCCTTCAGTCAGCGGGGGGCCGACACTCGCCGTAGGTTGTGGACTGCCGTGCGAAGGGAGCTTCGTTGGGCAATAGGTCTCCTCCCCCTCCTCCGTCGTCGCCTCGATGCCGTTTGGAGCTCCAAGGTGCGGTGTACAGACGCCTCCCCCTGGGGTCGTGGTGTTTGCTTGGCTGAGCGTGACCCTCAGTTCATCGCGGAGGCTGGCCGGTGGTCGGACCGGTGGCGCTTCTCGCGAGGGGCCGAGGATCGCGTTCGGCCGAGAGACGCCTCGCTCCGGGAGGAGCTGGACTTAGCCGCGGCGGCCGGTCTGGACGACCTGGATCGCGTCGGGACGGCTCGGCACCTGGAAGCCCTCGGCGAGGTGGATCGGAGCGGGGCCGTCCCGGAGATCGGGCCCGAAATCCTTCAGGGATCCTGGGCCACCGTTTCGGCCGGTCGCTGGAAGCGTCGGGAGGCGATGCCCATCTTGGAAGGGCGCGCTCTGGTCTGGGGGGTCCGGCATGTGAGCCGGGGTTTAAGCGAGTTTGGCAAGCGGATCCTTTTTCTGACCGACGGGTTGTCCGAGGTCCTGGCCCTTGAGAAGGGCCGATCGTCGAGCGTGGCCCTGATGAGAGTGTGCAGGCAGTGGGCGGCGACGGTGTTTGCGGCCGATCTGTATCCTCGGGTTCGGTGGATTCGGTCTGAGTTGAATGTGGCCGACGAGCCTTCTCGTCGCTATCAGCCGAAGCCATTTGGGCTCAAACCTGGGTGCTTTCGGCCTCCGCCAGGTCTGCCTGAGCCGGATGACGACCGGCCTCCCGCGGCCACTCGCAGGTGCCCCGATCCCGTCGGCCCCGTGGGATGCGGCCCTGGCGACCGACAGCCTGGTGAGGCCGGGCGGGGCTGCGGAGCGGCGACCCGTCCAGGGCGAGCCGCCGACCCTGTGGCGAGCGGCGGCGCCGTCACAGGTTGGCGCGCGACCGCGCCCACCCCATGGGCGGGCCCGGGCAAAGGCAGCGGCGAGACAAGCCAAGCCTCGGCCCGACGAGCTGGCCGCGAGGGGGAAGCGCGCCGCTGCCCGGCAAACGAATTTCCCGTGGACAAGCGGGCGACAGTCAGCGAGGGCCTCTCGCTGCTCGAGAGGGAGAGCGCGGGCGACCACGACCAGCGGGTCTACCAGTCGGCGCTCGTGGAGTTCAGGATCTTCTCCGAGACCCTGGGCCTGCGCCTCGAGACCGCTCAGGACTACGACGAGGCAGCCGTGGAGTGGACCTACCCCGCTGTCTTCGACGGCAGCGACGCGCTGGAGGGGACAAGGCTCAAGGCGCGGCTGCTGTACTACTACCCGCGGCTCCTGTCCGTGGCTGGGCTGCCCCAGTTCAGCCGGGCGCTGAGGGGGTGGAGGCGGCTGGGGTCGCCGCGGAGCCAGCTGCCGCTGCCGGGGGAGGTCGCCTGCGCGGTGGCACACAGGCTCGCGGCAAACCAGGACCTGCACGCCGCCCGCCTCGTCTTTGTGAGTTTCGTGTTCGGCCTGCAGCCCGCGGAGCTGGTGTCACTGACCGGGCGGCAAGTGGCGCCGCCGGCGCGGGCGGCCGGCCACGCCGCGTGGTCGCTCGTGCTGTTTCCGATGGAGGAGGAGACGCCCAGCAAGGACGGCGCCTTCAACGAGAGCGTGCTGGGCGACCTGCCGTTCTGCCACCTCATCGGGGACGTGCTGAAGCCGCTCGAGGCCGGCGTCGACGACAGGGACCTCGTGGCGCAGGTGCGGCACGTGCAGCTGGCGCAGGCGTTCGGCACGGCGGACCAGCGGCTCGGCCTCGAGGGCCCGCCGGGCCTGTACCAGCTGCGGCACGGCGGAGCGCCCGTCGACCTGGCCAGCTACCGCCGCAGCATCGCGGAGGTGAGGGCTCGCAGCCGCTGGGCAAGCGACAGCTCGGTGACGGGGTACGGCAATGGGGGCCGCGTCGCCGACCAGCTGATCAAGTTGCCACCGCCGTTCCTCGACCACGCCATCGTCCGCGCCAAGAAGAATGGCGACATCCTCTGCGAGCACTGCCGGCCCTTGCCGCCCGTGCGGGCGGGGCCGTAGCGCTCGAAGTGTTCAGCGGCTCCGGCAACTTCAGCCGGGCCTGGCGACGGCGGCGGCGCGCTCTGGGCTATGCTATTTTCGAGTGGGACATCCGCTGGGGAGAGGAGTATGACCTCACTCGCCAGCGGGCGCAGCGCCTGGTGCGAGGCTGGGTCAACAACGGGCTGATTGCTGCCGTCTGGCTGGGCACCCCTTGCCACAGCTGGAGCCGAGCACGGGACATTCGACCAGGGCCTCCGCCCTTGCGAAGTGACCTGCACGCGATGGGGTTGCCCGACCTAGCGCCCCGTGACGCTGAGAAGGTTAGGATCGGCAACGCCCTCATGAAGTTTTCAGCCTCGCTATTTTCTTTGTGCCAAGCCGTGCGCGTGCCAGTAGCTATTGAGAATCCTCACATGTCTAGAATTTGGCTGACGTCTCAATTCAGGAGATTGCAAAGAAAATGCCGCTCTGTCGTGTTAGACTTTTGTCAATTCGGCCAGTCGTGCCGAAAGCGCACTCGCATCATATATGATCATGTGGACCTCCAACCTTTACATCGCCTCTGTCGTGGCCCCCGCGGGACCTGCTCCCGCACGGGCCGCCCTCATGATCAGTTGCAGGGCAAAGGTGCAGACGGCATTTTTCACGCGCTCTTGGCCGAAGCTTACCCAGCTGATTTGTGCACTAGCATCGTCCGTTGCTTCCAGCTGGCGCTTGCAGAAAAGAAAGTTCAGCGAGTACAGACAATTTGGTGCGGCTGAAGCCAGTGGCGTTTTTGGAGAGAAGTCGTTCTATGCAAAAAGAGTTGGTGCCCGCTTAGCTTTGAAGTTAAGCGCTGCCTCGAGCTCGAGTCTGTGTGATCTGTGATTGCAAAGTCGGAAGACTTGTCGACACCAGAGATAGCATCGCTTCGCACGCCTGGCGGAAAATGGACTGGGCGTTTGATTTGTATAAGCTTGCTGATTAATGATATGCTGAAGACCGAAACACGCCGTCAACACCGATCCGTAGTTTTTCCTGGCCAACCGTCTGCCCCACCGCTGCCCTCTCCTTTTTAAATTGCAGAACGAACCAAGTGATCAGGTGCCCGCTTAGCTTTGAAGTTAAGCGCTGCCTCGAGCTCGAGTCTGTGTGATCTGTGATTGCAAAGTCGGAAGACTTGTCGACACCAGAGATAGCATCGTTTCGCACGCCTGGCGGAAAATGGACTGGGCGTTTCATATATATAGAGATATAAAGTAGTCCATTTGCAGGTGCACGAACAGCTTACGTCAACAATTATAAAAACACGCCCAAGGTCCAGCCATATTCTTGATATTGTTGACCAAATCTAGGATCCATGGAAGTTGGTGATTTGTCGTAAGATTTCTGACGGGTGTGCTCCGGGGTGTGGGGGGAAGAATGGGTGAGCATGGGCTGGGTTCGGGTGATCCGAGCTGGACCGGGTAGGGAAGAATCGCGCGACATCGTGACAGTGGCCCAGAAGCTGTGTTGAGACCAGTCCACGCTGCGTTACGTAGTGGACGCTCTATCCAGGGGATCCGATGGATTTTTCCCCGAGCGGGCCCCTGTGGTCGACCACCCCCGGTCGGGGGGCGGGAAAGATGGTGCTTCTCAGCAGTCGGTTGCCGTCATGCCACCAGCCAGAGGCCCGCGGGCGTTGTATCCAAGAGGTCCCACCAATGTCGCCCCGAACACGGCCCATGCAGGACATCGTCGGCCTTCGGGAGGCCAGAAGGTGATCCCGCCACCGTCCAGCAATGAGGCCCCGAAGGGGGACATATCTACATCACCGCATGGCCGTTCTACTGCCTGGATTCCATCATTGTCTTCCCGAGCGGGCTGTTGCGAATCCTGGCGGACCCCCCTTCCCTTGGGAGGCCAAGGCGTGGTGCTTGCTAGCATCCGATGGTCATCATTCACCCATCTGTGTCACCAAATGGGTGTTAGCCAAAGAAGACGCAGCCACTTCTTCCCGAAATGAGCCTGTGAGCAGTTCCCTGGCCGTCCCCCCTTTGCCCCTTTCGGGGGTCTAGGCGCTGTGCCTTTTGGCCCTCGGTAGTCATGAGGCTCTCCGGAGAGATCCATGTCCGTCGAAAGAGGAGGGATCTTCCCAGTAGCTCGCACCATTTTCGTCCCGAACTGGCCGGTGCAATACTCCATTGTCGACTCCTCCCCCCAAGGGAGGCCCAAGTGTGGTGCCGGCTAGGAATCGTTGGCGCGTAAACTCCCCAGGGGCCCGTATCTTGGCGACCAGAGCAGGCTTCTACCAGGTCCAACAGAATTATTTACGCTTCGCGTATCCCCACCAGCCCATCTCAAAACAGCAACTCTTGTGAAGCATACCGACAGTCGTGTTTTTCAGGCTTGTTTCCGCCTGCCCCCGCATATCTCCCCTGTTCCTCCTTCCTCCCGCCTCCTTGTACATCCTCCTTGTGGTGGGAGCGGGAGAAGGACGAGGCGGAGGAGGAGGGAGAGAAAGCGCTCCTCGTGGTTTGAGTCGTTTGGGGTTTCTCGTCCTGGTGTGAGTCGTTCGGGCCCTTCTTCCTGGTGTGAGTCGTTCGGGCTCTTCGTGGTGTGAGTCGTTCGGGCTCTTCGTCCTGGTGTGAGTCGTTCGGGCTTCTCGTGGTGTGAGTTGTTCGGGCCCCTCGTCCTGGTGTGAGTCGTTCGGGCCCCTCCTCCTGGTGTGACTCGTTCGGGCTCCTCGTGGTGTGAGTCGTTCGGGGCCCTCGTCGTGGTGTGAGTCGTTCGGGCTACTCGTGGTGTGAGTCGTTCGGGCGCCTCGTCCTGGTGTGAGTCGTTCGGGCCCCTCCTTCTGGTGTGAGTCGTTCGGTCTGTTCGTGGTGTGAGTCGTTCGGGCGTCTTGGGGGCCTCTTGGCGGCCCCAGGGGCTTCTAGGAGCGTCTTGGGTGCCTTGGGGGAGCCTCTTCGGGCCTCTTGGGAGCCTCTTGGAGGCCGTTTGGGGCGTCTTGGGGGCCTCTTGGGGGGCCCAGGGGCTTCTAGGAGCGTCTTGGGTGCCTCGGGGGAGCCTCTTGGGGCCTCTTGGGGGCCTCTTGGGGGCCTCTTGGGGGCCTCTTGGGCTCTCTTTTGAGCCTCTTGAGAGCGTTCGGGGGCCTTCTTGGGAGCCTCTTGGGGGCCTCTTGGGGGCCTCTTGGAGGCCTCTTGGGGCCTCTTGGGGCTCTTTGGGAGGGGTCTGGGAGGTATCTTGGGGCCATCTTTCGGGCGATCGATCACAGATGGGGCGGGTTTTTTCTCCTCCCCCCCCGTCGGGGCCAGAATCCTCGTGAGGGGTGTCGTTTTTTAGCCCTCCCAGGAGTCGAAAAAGACCCCTCCAACCACCCGCGAAAGGACCTCTCCAGGTCCAGGGGGAGGGGGTAGGGGGAGGGGTAAACCCCTCCCCGAAGGGGAAGAAGGGGGTTGAGAACAGAGCGGGCTCTCTAAACCACTCACGCCCAAAGGGCTGGTGGGATTCGGAGTCAGCAGGTTTGCGCGACACTCGCTGGTCGGGCCAGAGACAGCAAGGTGGCCAACACAAACGCTGGGACGACGAAAACATCACTTGCTTGCGTTAGCGCAGACCAGACCTCCACCGACAGCCCACAACAACCCATTCGAAAGGACAGCCGAACGACATCACATGGGTGCGCACAGCCCAAGACACAGCCATCTGGACGACGTTCGATCACCAGTTCACCGACCCCACGCGAGCAAGCATCCAAGACCAATAGCGAGAAGTCGAGACGATACATGCGCCTGCACTGCACCAAGGGCTTCCTCCTCCTCTTCCGCCTCCTCTCCTCCTAACTGTTTATCTGTCTCGCATTGCATGTGTCCAGACACCAGAATCCAGAGGCCACGGCCTTACCCACCTGTTCTGAGATAGGCCTTGACGCTTGTCCACGGCGGTGGTCGTTCGTTCGATCGTTCTATTGTCGGGCTCCCCGTGGGGGCCCAAATGCGACGCCTCCCACCGCTCGATGGCCATGCGGCTCCCAAGAGACACCCCTCCGCGACACGTTCTACCCACGAGGCCGCGCTGCCCGTGACACCACTCCCCGGTCGACCCCCCTTGGGAGGCCAGGGCGCGCACCAGGCTCCCGAGAGGGGCCCGTCTTCGCCACACGTGGGCATTCTACCCAAGAGTTCCACCAGTTCTTGACGACTTTGTGTGCTCCCACCAGCCCATCAAGAGACGGTTCCCGTTCGAGTTGCCGCGAGAAGGATCGTTAGGTAGCTTGGGAGCGTCAGTTCAACGAAGAGGGGGGACACCAGTCAAACCGCAGCTTCGGGCAGCCCGAGCAGCCTCCAACGAGGGCCAACTCTGGAAACTTCACGGTGCCCTTTGAATGGAGCCATCTTGGGGCCCTCTTGTGGCAATCTGAGAAGCCTTTCGGGACCTGTCGGGGCTGTTTCGGAGCCTTGCCGGAGGGCTTTGGCGCTCTGTTGGGGCCGTCCTGGCATCCAGCTGCCAATCGCCGTACATGTTTCCTAGCCAGTGTGGAACTCGCGTCATCCTGACCCCCGGCGCGCGAGGGAACAGGCCCGCCAACCGCCCCCCTGTTCCGTTTCCGGCGAGGTCCAAGAAATCCGGCGACGAATTCCAAACCGGCACCCTCGCGTGGTCGCGTGGGACATCCTCAGGCAACCTGCCCTTGGAGCCTCCCCAAAGAGGAGGCCTTCAGAAGACCGTTTCTGGCGAAATCCAGGAAATCCGGCGACGAATTCCAAACCGGCGCCCTCGCGTGGGACATCTTCAGAAAACTGGACCCCGGAGGATCCACAAGGGGGCCTTCAGAGGAGGCCTCCCTGTTCCGTTTCCAGCGCGATCCGGGAAATCTTGTGACGAATTCCGAACCGGCGCCCTCGCGTGGGACATCCTGAGGAAACCGGCTCCTGGAGCCTCGCAAGGAGGCCTTCAGAAGCCCCCCTGTTCCATTTCTGGCGAGATCCGGGAAATCGAGCAGAGAATTCCAAGTCAGCGCCCTCGCGTGGGACATCCTGAGAAAACCGGCCCCCGGA